CTGGAAAATTTAAGGGGTAGTTATATAATAATTTTGGACGATCTCGGGCGGTCGGATACTTATGACCGCTACTGTAAGATGAAACTACTATTTTTACAAGTAAAAGACCTTAAATGTGATCTAATCAATATTTTTTTATTGCTTTCATTTTACTTAGCTTGCTGTCCTCTGTCTCTATTTTCATATTACATAATAAAGAATATGATTGGTTTTTAAACGTGTATGCATATCTTTATAGTGTTGGCAGAAAAATCTGACACTTTCTTTTTTAGGAAATATGAATGGTCGTGGATTATTTATTTACGTTATAAATATGAAAAAAATGGTTAGCTTAGCTGGTACAAATGTAATACAATGGCTGTACTTAAGGAACTTCGTGACCTAATAAAGGGTTTGTAGAAGAGTGGAGTTCGTAAATTATCAGTGCTTCAAAAAAACCAACGGTTTTCCTAAAAGAATTGGGTTAAACAACTTAAAGAAACAAATGACTTGAAGAAAAGAGGTCGTTCAGGCTGTCCAAAGCTTCTTACTCCTACTAAATATCGTTACCTTAGTCGTGTCATCAAGCAAAAGAACTTGTTGAAACTCTTCAAAAAACATATCCAGGCCTTAATATTGCACCACGAACAGTTAGAGAAAGCTTGGATATAAAGTTTGTATTTCACGTTCAGATCCTCTTCTTACTTAAGAAGCCATGATTAGTCATGTCGCTTGGGCGAAGGCTCACCAAAGAAAACGATGAAATAAAACTGTTTTCTCTGATGAAACAACATTTCAAATGTTTTGTAATTACAATTCAGGTTTGTTACAAATGTGAAGAACCAAAGCCAAGACGTGAAACGGTGAAATATCCTTATAAAGTTCATTTGTGGGGAAACATGAATGGCGAGCTTTTATCGTGAAATTTTGACTCAAAATTTATTTGAACAAGCTTACCAGATTCTTGGTAATGGGTGGATCTTCCAGCAGGACAATGATCCGATAGGCTTACAGTTGAACTTCTTGAAAATCGTCGTCCGCGAGTTCTTGATTGGCCATCATACTCTCCAGATCTCAATCCAATTGAGAACTTATGGTCTATAATGAAGAGAAATGTCGAAAAGAAGATAAATGTTATGATTAGTGAAAAAAATCCATTACTAAAGTAAAAATCGCGTGAGATAATCCCAATTGTTTGAGTGCCAGTTTTTTCCGCCAGCACTGTATATTTTTTAAGTGTAAAGCTAATACAGCGACATAATACCATATTTCTTAGCATTTTTCCGGTGAGCATTATCTCGGAAAACTCAGACAATAATGTTGCGATTCACAAAGAAAATGTAATTTAATTGGCAAATCGTGTTACTTTATTTAAATGATCCGCTTAATTTTAGGATAGAAATTCATTTCTATAGTTGACTATTATTTTCTCAATACATGAGTTAAAAATCTCTAAAGGACAAAAAAATTAAGAATATGCGATATTTATCCGTGTAAAATCAGGTAGTGGTGTGAAAAATTAATCTTTTACGCCGTTGGTGCAAATTACATTAGTTGTTTGGTTTGCTCCTGTGATTCCTTGTGATATCATTTGTCTAGCTTGATTTGCGTTTGTTTCTGTTGTCCTTTTGTTATCGGTACTCTGCGACCTTTTGGACGCTGTGTTGAATATTGAGGAGGCGGGTAAGGACTCTCCAAAGTAAATTTATGATTGTTAGGTTTAAATATAATAATAGTGAACGGTTCAGTTTATTAAAAACGAAAATCACACGACCTCTGTAGTGGCCTAAATGTAATAAACTAACATATAACTTTTATCCAAAAAAAAAACCTACTCTATAGCGAGCATACAATAAATATCATCAGCGATCTTTTTTATTTTTCGATTGTTGTTTGGGGGATTTCGCTTCTTTGTTTCTTTAATTTTTCTACCTTTTTGATTTGTTCTTCTATTATATATGCCATAAGCTTTAATGTGACAAAAGCTTTTATCCAAAGAACCGAAGGCCCAACGATTGTGCATTCTAACAAGACTTCACAAAAATCTCTTATCCACCTTCCCCTTTCGAATTTCTGTAAAATTTCTCGACTAAGCGCTTTTTGTGACCCAACATTCTTACACGCTGCCTCATCATCCAGAAAAAATTTACATGCAAACATCAAAATACCAGCAAAAGAGGCTATTATAATAGGCACTAACACAAAAGATAAAGTTGACTTGTCAACATAGTCCCGCCTTACGGCTATGAAAAGAAAGATGAAGTCTATGATGATATTTAAATAAGTCGAAAGTAAAGTACCGATAACGATAGATATAAGTTTTCTATCATTTTTTTTAAATATGCATTTTAAAAACATCCATGTTATGATTAGCGTATAAGTAAATACTAATTTTGAAACGAAGTATGCAATAAAAAAGAGATCATGGGTAGTTTGATAAGCTTTGACACAGAACCAAATGTGCAAAGCTAATACTGCTAAATGTGGAAGATTTCGAAGGCATAAAAGAAGTTTTTCGGATATACGACTCAATAAAGGGTTCTCCTTCAAATCTTTCTTATCAACATCGACGAATAAAATCAATGGAACCAGAACAGTGACCAACAAATCAAAGACCGCCTCGATAACCGGATTAGAAGCACCAATATTATCTTTAAATGCATTAACCGAGTGGACCCTCTTGTAAAGTATAGTCATTTTTAGGAAAAGTATAAATATTTAATGGATCCAAGTTTAATATGCCGAAAAGGTTTGGCCGATTCGATTGATGTCATTTTTTATACTAATATTATTTAATTATGAATTAAATTTATACGAAAAGGTCCGTAAGAGAATAACTTCTCAAGTAAGACTTTTTTTAAATGAGGGAAAATTAACATCTTTATACTGTTAAAACCGAATGCTGTGCATTTTGTACAGTAATACACAGACCCAATTTCGTAAATTATAATAAGAGAAGAATGATATTGTGCAGAATGCAGTCATTCGTGCGACTAACAGACTTTTAATGAAGAAATTAGGAATTAATTCTGGCCAAAAATCGTATGGGCCGATTTGACAAAAAAACCTACTCTACAGCGAGCATATATACAATAATTTGATACATAATGCAAATTATCGATCAATTTATAACTATCAGCAATTTGATCAAACAAACAAATATGTACACGAAATATAAAAATAAAGTAATAATAAAAATAAATAAAAATAAAAAAAAATATAATCCATCAAACCGAATCGATGCTGATTTGAGTCCGGAGATTCCGATTCGTAAACAATAAATATCATCAGCGATCTTTTTTATTTTTCGATTGTTATTTGGGGGATTTCGCTTCTTTGTTTCTTTAATTCTTTTACCTTTTTGATTTGTTCTTCTATTATATATGCCATAAGCTTTAATGTGACAAAAGCTTTTATCCAAAGAACCGAAGGCCCAACGATTGTGCATTCTAACAAGACTTCACAAAAATCTCTTATCCACCTTCCCCTTTCGAATTTCTGTAAAATTTCTCGACTAAGCGCTTTTTGTGACCCAACATTCTTACACGCTGCCTCATCATCCAGAAAAAATTTACATGCAAACATCAAAATACCAGCAAAAGAGGCTATTATAATAGGCACTAACACAAAAGATAAAGTTGACTTGTCAACATAGTCCCGCCTTACGGCTATGAAAAGAAAGATGAAGTCTATGATGATATTTAAATAAGTCGAAAGTAAAGTACCGATAACGATAGATATAAGTTTTCTATCATTTTTTTTAAATATGCATTTTAAAAACATCCATGTTATGATTAGCGTATAAGTAAATACTAATTTTGAAACGAAGTATGCAATAAAAAAGAGATCATGGGTAGTTTGATAAGCTTTGACACAGAACCAAATGTACATAGCTATCACTGTAAAATGTGGAAGAAGTTGAAGGCGTGAAAGATTTTTTTCAGATATACGATTCAATAAAGGGCTTTCCTTCAATTCTTTCTTCTCAGTATCGATGAATAAAATCAATGGAACCAGAACAGTGACCAACAAATCAAAGACCGCCTCGATAACCGGATTAGAAGCACCCATATTATCTTTAAATGCATTAACCGAGTCAAAAAACACAAAAATGATTGCCGGTAGAAGTAAAATATGCCGAAAAGGTTTGAGAGTCATTTTTTATAAGAGTATTTAATTGTGAATTAAATTTATACTAAAAGGTCCGTAAGAGAATAACTTCTCAAGTAAGACTATTTTTAAATGAGAGAAAATAAACATTTTATACTGTTAAAACCGAATTTTGTGCATTTTGTACAGCAATACACAGATCAATTTCGTAAATTATAAGAAAAGAATGATATTATGCAGAATAGTCATTCGTGCGACTAACAGACTTTTAATAATGAAATTAGGGGATGTATTTATTTACTTGTTCTTAATTCCAGCCGGAATCATCAACTCGATAATTCTGACCAAAAATCATATGACGCAATAAAATGGATTTGATGGAATTCATGAGAATGAAAAATTAATGTGTTATAGAAATAAACAGCATTTGTTGTGATTGGAATAAGAGATATCTTATTGGCAGAAAATCAAAGCATTTATATGAAAAGCAGTATGATTATTGGGTTGGAGTAAATATAGGAAAAACAAAAAAAAAAAAAGTAAGACCTTTATGGCGGATCGAACGATACCATGATTTTGTGATTTGTTTTTGTTTTGTTTTGTTTTTTATTTCTAACGAAAATAAAATCGTATTTATAAATAAACTACATAACTGACGTGACGCATAAATGAAAACCATAATTAGAAATAAGGCTAACCTATATATCACTCGCGTACAATAGCCAAATAAATAACAGATTTCACCAAATAATTGATATTAGAAATAAGGCTAACCTATATATCACTCGCGTACAATAGCCAAATAAATAACAGATTTTCACCAAATAATTGATTAATCCGCATATCTTATTCATTGACATTTCCAATCAAAATATCTTAATATCTTAGATGGTTATATCAATCCTTTTTATGTTCAAAGGATGTATTACTGTAAGAATAAATCTATATTTGAGGGGGAATGTAATTTGTACTCAATTACATCATATTTTGAATGAGGGTATTCAAAAATGATGAAATTAAAATGATTTCAAACGCCCAATTTCTTCAATAAAGGTTCCAGAACTTAATAATTTACTATAAAAATCCAATAGAAATGTATCATGTTGAATATCTTTACTTTTTAAATATAAATGCAAAAAAAAAAAGAGAAAAAAAGAAAAAAATAATCGAGAGAGAGAGAGACAATGGGAAGTCATAGAATAAATGGAAACTCGAATAAACATGTAAAGCACCACGTTAATCATATTATGCATTGTTAAACAAAAAAAAAATATTTTTTTACGCCCTCGTGGATCGACATGTTGAAGAACAAGATATTCGGCATATCACATTCGGGAAAAAAATGAACTTTAATTATGAAACGTAACCGGGTACAGAGCATCGACTCGGTCTGGATCATGGAGAGCGCATGTTAAAGGATTTATTTTTCAAAGTGACACGATTCACTTTAAATTTATTTTGTTTGGTTCATTTTTGCATGCAATGACGAAGCACACATACCTTATGATATGGTTTGGGCCCATTTTGCATATATTGATTGTTTGTCTGTGCATTTAGGAACTAACTTGGTATTATATAGGGGCGTTATTTTATTAGTTTGGTAAGAAAGATCCGCCGTCTGATTTGTTTCAGGGGATATTATCTCTTATTTTCAATGTTAACGTTATATTTATATAACCAGAAAAGCTAATAAAGTTCGGGATGCTACAGATCTTATTTAAAGAGTCTATTATCTCAACAATGATTTTTTTTTCAATTCAATAAGATCTTTCATCTAGACGTGTCTTATATAGAGAAAACGGCATCTGAATTTAATTGCAAAAAAAGACATATAGATTAAGGAGTTTGGGTCACCTTGCCGTATTAGTAGTAGAACGAGGCAGAATTGGATTTTTTTTTTTTTTTTTTTTTTTTTTTTTTAGCAAATAGGCCAAGGTGTAATATTTTTACACAAAAGGCTTATACTTTTTGTCTGAAATTAAATTAAGGAAAAAAAAAATCGAACTTTTCCAAAATTGTCGGCAATTGATGAAACAATAATTCAGACTCCGGCGAGACACGTGATGAAGTTCATTGATCTTAGCGATATAGAAATTTCTTTAATCTGTGATGGCGATCTTCGACTGGCAGCGCAGATCGTCATCAGATTACGGAATCGTGGCGCACGAAAAATCCGTTTATGTTATCCTACTGACCAATATCTTGTAGTAAAGTTCAAAAAAATTTGATTTTTTTTTTTTTTTCTAATTCATTTTACACTCACCTATTTAACATTGCTTATTCTTCTTACCTTAGTACGCAAATGCCGACATTGATGCGATCAAAGTACCATGTCCCCAGGCCACGCAAAACCATTTCAAATCGAGTGTATCAAGTAAGTATCAATGTAGTTTTTGAAAACTTTTTGTTTAATACTCTGAGATGATTCTTATCTTATTTTTTTCCTTGTAAAAAATTATTAGACGCAACAATCGTAATTAGCTTACTGTATAATAATTACGAAAAGCAAGAGATGCTTCTTGACGCCTGCACCGAGCAAGGAGTTGCTTTGCTTATCACATGGGATTCTGGAATGGAACTGTAAATACATTTATGACCCTTTTTGATTTTCTGATCTTATCATTGTGTATTTAAAAAAAAAAAAATTGATTCTTTTACAGAGAACACTATGTACGGGATAAACAATGTCCACGAACCAGATTGCATAAACTATTATTGAATCATCGGGCGACAAATAAAAATAAACCCGACGCAACCCGTTGGATCCTATTTCAGGTTGGCATTTTCGATGAAGAGATACTTAAAAACGACATATCAACAGTCACTACCGCTTTCAATAGTCCGAACCAATTTATTTTCTTGAACATTACTGTCAAAGAAGATTTAGCTCAATTGATAGTTGAAACTATCGTGTCGAGAGAAATCCAACTTGACAGAAATTATGTGGTCGGAGATTTTGTTGCGCACACATACTTGGGTCATGTATATCAAGTTGCAACCAAAGGTGATCAATCAATCATTTTCTAATCCTTTTGGATATATATGAATACATTATATATATATTAAGTAGGATTTTTTGTTTTTTTTACAAAAAAAAAATATATATATATATATAGGCGTTCGATTAAATTTGGGTATGCCCGCAGAAATCTCGGATTTTGAGGTTACAAACGCATTACGCTTATCCGGGATCGTTTCAGCACGTCCACTTCCACGAATACTTTATCCGGGGTGCAGTTTATTTTTTTATAAACTTGGTATTGAAATTTCCTTTCAACATGATGCAGCGATCTATAAAATTTTAAAACATCACCGTCGTACGACCTTTAAGGAATGGATTCACAATCAATTCTATGATTGTTCCAAATAATTTTTTTTTTAATTAAGACTTCTTTTTTATGGATAAGTATTTCTAAGCATTTTCTAAATATAAAAAAAAAAAAACTGCTGATCGATAAAAGAAATTGGTAAAAAAAAAATTCTAAGAATAAGGTTTTTTTTATAATGGTGGCACTATAACGATAAGAATTTTAAGATTTTAAAAATAAAAATTTTATGATTTTAAGATTTACACGATTTACATATCGCCATATTATTCAACAAACAAATCGTCAGCCGAATAATCATGTGAGAAATTTCTGATGGTTAAAAATGTAAATGAGATTTCCTACCTGGTGTGGTTTTTTTTTCTATTTGTCACATAAAATAAAAAGTTCACTAACCTTATTGGTCTATGTATGCAGGAACTTTTTTTTTCATTCTAATGAATATAATTGACATATTTAGAACGATACAGGTGATTTTTATTGTGAAAAGATTACAAAAAAAAATCTCGATTTTTTTTTTACGCCAATTCGACTTTTACAAAAAGGTTCGATTTGGAAAATTGGAATTATTTCCGGTTGCAAACTTGATTTATAATTTGACTAAAATGTATTTCATAATCTATTGCGCCAACCCGCATTTATTTTTTGCGATTAATAATCATTTTTCGAAAAAAAAAAAATAATAAATTTTTTTTTTCATATTTTTACTTGCATAGATTTATTTTGTAACTAACTAAAACGCGTCGTATACACGCGTACTAGAAAATATGATGATTACCAATTTTCGCTTTTATCAAGTTTAAATTCGACTTCTAAAATAATTTTGGGGATTTTTCCGCATAATCAAGAATATCTGTGTTTGATTATTATCTTTTAGTTTGAATGTGATGAGTTAAATAATAGGTTCTTTGAGTAAAACTTGGAAGGGCGCGAATGAAGTTTTTCTTTTTCTTTTAAAAAAAAAGAGCAACATATCCAAGATCGAAACCTTTTTATTTTTTTAAAAAATGCAGTTTACAAGATTTGGTACGTCGTAAAAACAATTGGGAAATTAAGCATGTCCACGAGAGAATTATTAATATTTAATTTTTATTTTCACATAAATACATTATGATTATAATACAAATAACTTTTTTTTTTTTACATAATAAATAAATAATGAATTTTGTACAAGGGTTGAAAATAATTATATGTATTAATATTTTTTTTATGTTTGTTTTTTGTTTTTGTAAATTATTCTTCGAATAAGTCCTCGTTTATCGCATTTAAATCTACAATTACAAAAATCGAAAAATTTTAGTATTTTTTTTTTTTAAAAAAAAAAAAGAAAAAACACGTGAAGACTAATAAAATACCTTTTGATCCTGAAGAAAGACTTAATCGTCGCATACCTAAATTTTAATGAGTTTTTACATTTATAAATAAAGGGTAGTAAAATAAAGTGATGCAACTTTGGAAGAAATGCACTCACTTTCAGCGACTTCTTCACTATTAAATGATCTGCTAAATCGTTTTTCGTTAAAGGTGGACGAGACACTTTGAATTTGAACACTTCGCCTATTATTCTTTTGTTTATTAGGACGGCGATTATGAGAAGTTACACTATTTGCACGACGTCGGGCAGCCAGCTTCCCAAAGTCTGATGCAGAGACGAGATGAACTGTCAAGTACAAAAAAAAAAAAAAAAGAATTTAATATAATAAAGTCAATTTAAACTTTCTTCACAAAAAAAAATCTATACCTGAACGATTTACTAGGGAGTTTTGCTGAATTGAAACGGGATCGGCATTTCTTGGTTGAGGAAGTTGAGTAAATTCAAGTAGCCGACTGGTATAAATAGCTTCAGGATGTATCCTCTTCGAAGGAAATTCCGATAAAACATGTTCAATCATACTTAAACGAATCAATTCGGCCTCACCAATCTGTGTTCTGTGATTTGGTATTTCTTTAAATTGTTTAAACATGATGAGTAATTCATCTATGTTTGGACGTAATAAAGGATCCGCATTCCAACATCTTTGCATTACTTGAACATAACATTCTGGAGTTCCAGGCATAAGCCTTGGCCTTAATCCTGAACAAATTTCACTCGCCAGGTTATGATCATGAGAACGATCATGAAAAGGTTTATTGCCCGTGGTAACCTCCCACATGATAATTCCTAAACTATAAATATCGGCAGCTTTCGTGTATTGTTCACCTCGTAAAACTTCGGGAGCCAAATAAGGTAAAACTCCGAATACTTTAGATTTTTTATAATGTTCATCTACGGGATGACATAATCCAAGATCCGTTATATAGGTATCTAAATTATTACTATCATTACCGTAGCCATGACGCAATATGTTACCACTATGAAAATCGTGATGAACCAAACCTGCGTTATGAATTGATTGAAGGCCAATTATAATGTCACGAAGCATGTTTACTTTTTTCCACCAATCAAATCTTGCAAATGAAGTTGAAAGGTAATTTCGCAAGTTACCTTCACTTGCATATTGCATTACTAAAATATAATTATTCGTTTGAGGTTCATTACTTATTCCGTAACATGGAAGAACTCTTCCCGAATCCATACATCGGTAATGCAATCTTAGCTAAACCCATCGTAAAAAAAAAAAAAGTCGAAATTCGTAAACGAAAACAAATTATCAAAAAAAAAAAAAAAAAAAAAAATTTTTGTTTCAATTTACCTCGTTCAAAAAATCCATCGTTTGGTTAGCACCAGTAGAATTACTTAAAACCTTTAATGCGACTCTTTTCTTATTCCAAATTAGATCGAATTTTTGCTCAGGGGCATCATGCCAAATGGCTTCGTAAACCACACCAAATCCACCTCTACCAATTTCATTAATGTTACTAAATTCATTATATGGAATCCATTTCAAGGATGATTTATTATCGGATATCGTCACGGTTGATTTGGTTTCATCAAGAAACCTATTAATATCAAATCCGTTTAGATTTGAACCGAAAGGAAGTGTGGAAGAAAATCTTTTCATTTTTTTAAAAAAAAAAAATTTTACAAAAATCTTTTTTTTAAAAAAAAATAAAAATAAAAAATAAAATAAAATAAAAATAAAATAAAAATAAAAGGAAAATAAAAAAAATTATTTTAATAAATAAAAAAAAATTGATCCGAATAATATATATATTTATATAAAAATCATTTTTTATTTGTAATATACTAGTTTAAGTTTAATCCATTAAACATTATAAATTTATACGTAATAGAATAATAATTCATTTGATTGCTAAGCTAGGATAATAAATAAACAATATCCACATATTGTTCTTTAGAAGACAGTTTTCATCAAATCATTAGTCATTTCAATCACCCAATTTTAGTTTCCGAAATAAGAAATCCTTTAAAATAAAAATCCAGGGTTGGGATTTACTGCGCAGAATGGTTAACCTGATAATAGTTTTGAAGGGAAGGTTGAAATTAAACTAGTCACAACAGAAGGGGGAGAAATTTCCCCTGTTTCAGATTCAAACTGACCCGTCATAAGACATAACAGTAAACAATTTGATATTATATTAGGTTACTGTATCCTTTTTTTTAAAACAAAACAAATACTAAATAACCGAATTGACCTCCGTAACACGTAAGATTGGATGATTTTACATATTGTTTCATAAAATAACTATTGTTTGAAAATCTTGTTTCACGTGATTCTAAACCTTCCTTTGATCACATTGTTCATAATTCGTGCTATAAACCTAATTCATTGTTGTCATAAATAATCTTCAAGTTATTATGACAAGGTGATTTTTTTATAAAAGTTTTATAAAAGCCATGAATTTAAATGCGCATAAATATTAAATAAACGTTTTTTTAGTAGATTGGTTTTATACAAAAATTTCGTTGTGGAAGATCTGCTACATATCCCGATAAGGTTTTTTAACGTAAAATAGAAAAAAACCCCATCCCATGAGAATTTTCAATTTTTTTTCCTCGTGCCTATTCAGTTAGAATGATAATAGAAAATAAAGATTTTAGAAATGTAATATTTGTTGGGTCACGCTTTGCCTGAATAATTAATGTTTTTTTGAAGATCAATCACAACCGCAGCTATGCTTCGCTCCAAGTCATCTGATCAAAAGTCTTCCTATAAAAGGGTAAACAAAAAATCATTTTGATCTATGAACTTCCCCCTCTTCTCTACAACTTTGAAAGATAAAAAACAAATATTACTCCTCTTTTTTAATATATATATTTTTTTTCTTTAAAAAAAAAAATGACAAGTCTCCGTAAACCTGCAAAAATTACTAAAACAATCATTTTTTATAATGGGCTATTTCATTATGTCGAGGATAATGCCAATGGAGAAGCTAATATGCAGTTTGTATTATTTAAAGTTTATAATTTGACCGTATGTTTCATATTTCAAATTTAAGGAATTTTGTTTGTTTAACGTTAAACTAACAATATTCGATGGTTTTTTTTAGAGGTCTTTTGAAGAATTGCGTAAGGAAATTATTGCCTCGGTTGGGGGTGGTGAATCTACAACTGTTACTTATATAGACGATTCTAAAGATGAATCGGATGAAGCTTATGTTTCATTGAATGAAAATGTCAAGGTATAAAATTTTAGTTTTTTTTTTTTTTAAAAAAAAAAAAAAAAAAAAAAAGGTTTTAAAAATTATTTTATTTTATTTTAACAGATTAGAATTTGTTTTAAATCACAAAAACATCGAGATGTAATTGAACACCTACGTTCTTCACAATCAATAAAGGATTTAACACAAAATGGATTCGCAGATTGGGTACCGCTTGATAGTAAATCTTATATTAATATTGAACGTAATTCACGATGTGAAAGACGTGGAAATATTCTTACTACGACAAAATTAAGATCTTTTGATGATGATATTGATCCAAGGTTATTAGAAATGATTATTGATGAAATCTATGAAAATAAAATTGATTTAGCCTTGGAAAAATTATTTCCCGGTCCAAGTATAAAAATTTATCACGAAATCAATGATCTTATTATGATAGCTGTCGTGTTTGAAATTCAATATCATTTTGATGAAGAAATTGGAAAATTATTTGTTGAAGTTTTAAATTCTTTAATTGAAGATCGTAAAATTGAGGCTAGATCTAACGTAAGTTATATTAAGTCTGTAATTTCTATTTTTAAGGATTTTATATCTATATTCTTATCTTTTTTTTATTGTTGTTGTCGGCATCGATACCAGGAAGCCTCATCGGTGTTTTCTACTTTCGTTTATCGTTTATTTGCTGTTATAAGAAATTTGATTTATCTTAATGAATTATATGGAGAATTTAAATCTCCTAGTTGGTCTCCATTTGTTAATATTCAAAAAGTCAAAGATATTAGAGATGAAGTGCCCACCATGAGACATACTTCTGAAGAAGAACATCTTATAACTATGGAAAAGGTCACAAATGTTGAGGGTGAGCTACTATCTTCATTATTTTTTTTTTTTGAAGAAAAAAAAAATTCTGTTTTAAAATTTTTCATTTTTGCTAGATTCTTTAAGTAAACTTCATCCGATAGTTAAACAATTACAAGAAGAGGTTGAAATTGCACAATTCAGAATACATTATAATATCAGAAAATGGAAGAAACCCAAGCGAACTTCAAACGTCTTGTTTTATGGTTCCATGTAATAATAGCATACATTTTTGCAGATGATCGATTTGCTCGATTTTTTTATTTTATTAACTTTTTCTTTAATTTCTTTAGAGCCGCGATGTTATCAATTCCTACGTTGTACCTCTCCAATAAAAGTGCGGCTCGTGCAGTTTCTTCTAATCGTCTCAAGGTAAATCGAAGGAAAAGCTTTATTTATTATTTTATTTTTTTTAGAAAAAAAAAAAAAAAACTTACCAATGCCATTAAAAAATTTAGGTTTCATTCGGATGTTTATTAACTATTTTATTAGGTATATGGACAAAAAAGTCACATAATAATTTTCATAAATCAATCAATGTTTCAAAACAACTTGACCCTTTACTAGTTTCAACGAAACAAAATGTTGATTTATTGGATAGATGTTTAGATGAAATTGCTGTAGATGACACATCCAAAATTAAAGTGAATGATTATGAGTTTAAAGGAAGAAAAGTAATTCTAAAACAACTATTTCACCAATTTGTTGCTGCCAATGCTAATATTAAAATCAGCTTTAGTGTGACATCATAGTAAAATCATTCATATTCTAATGAGAGAAATCAATATACTTTTATTTAGATTAGTATATTTTTTTCTTTAATAAATGTAATAATAACGTAGATAAGTTTCGAATTTTCGTGGATTAAAGGAGGAAGAAAATTCACCTTCACTATAAACATTCTTTGACATTCTACTGATTTCTACATGCGAACTATTTTTTAATTGTAAATAATTACGTGAAGTACATATGAATTATTTGTAAATAAAAAAAAAAAAAATCGTGAACCTCCGATTATATACCATTTAATAACCTATAAACCGCGGTGTAGATTTCAAATAGAAAAACATGGTTTGAAATGTTGAGTTTTCAAATATTCGAACAAATTAACTACGGATAAAAATAATTTTTATTCTGACAGTAATATGTACGAAATATTTTTAAAAGATATTATATATTTTGTTTGGAAGAAATTGTAACGAAACTAAGGACATATAATTCTTTATATATATTTATAAAACTTTAATCCGGAAATTAATTTATGATTTTCAATTCGATAATTTAAAAATTAAATAAAGCGCCACACGGTAGGTGTCATAAAAAAAAAGCACCACCCAATTTATAACAAGACATTGAGTAAATTTAGATTTATAATATAACCTTTATAAATCAAAATGGACCCAAAAGTTAAAACTAACGAATTGTGAAGTCAAGATTTTTGTCGATCTAATCTTGATTATTTTAAGGGTTTTTTTTTTTTCAAGCCACTTCCCAAAATATAAAATTTTAATTTTTCTCTTTAAAAAAAAAAAAAAAAGAGATGTTTATTTATCGGAAGAACACCACCGATAGAAATTCCCTACAATTATTGCTTAAACATATGTCCGCGCAGCAATACGCATAAATTAATCCCTGATTTGTGGATTCCTTGTCTGGTCTCACTAACCAAACTTGGGATTGACAGGCTCCACGAGATAAATTGCGAGTGTGGAATGTGTTGTACAATTCGGCGCAAAGGCGGAATTATTTCTCCCAAATGTGGCTCGTTGTGTTGTATAAATTAAAAATTTTGACCTTCGCTTTCCTAAACAATCATTTTTTTTTTTTTTTTTTTTTTTTTTCTCTCTCTCTCTCCTTTTATCACTAATCCTTTCTTTTATAAAATAAAAAAAAAATTTTTTTTGACTATTTGATATCCTTTTGAGATTGAAAATTTATTATTAATATATTTTTTTTTTCATTCCAATACCCTATAAAGACTTAATCCAACTTTATAATTATTAAAAAACAAATGAATCGGATTATAAAATGGGTCGACGCTTAAGTGCATTGAAGGGAAATTTGACTAATTTATTAAAGGGCAAAGGGGTTGTTAACAATGACCAATTTACCCTCACGAATTCATCAGTTTCTCGACAACGAAAGATTAACAAATTAAAACTTCCAGCGGACGTACTCATTGAAATATTTTCACACCTAGAAGATGATTACAAGACATTACAATCTTGCGCTTTGGTTAATAGAATCTGGTGTGAAAATTCAGTTCCTTCATTATGGTCTCAACCTTTTCAAGATTTAACACCATCGACCATAATAGATGTTTACTTAACTTGTCTCACGGAACTTGAAAAGGCTTATCTCGTTAATAATGACATTATTGGAATCTCTAATCGCAGACGAGTTCCGGTATTTGACTATATCTCCTTTTTACGTCATCTTAGCATGGGAAACCTTTATAGCATAGTTCAAAGATGGACAGATCGTACCCAAACAAAATATTCTGCCTCCCCGAAACGGTACTAAAAAAAGAGAAAAATAATAAATAAATAAATCAAATTATCCAACTTTTGCTAATTCATCAATCATAATCATTAATTGAAACTTTTTTTTCTTCCTTTTTTTTTTTTTCTTTTCTAAATAAACAAAAAAAAAAATGATATCTGTATATGTAAATAAATACATATATATATACATATACACATACAACATTACAATACGTCTTTAACATTTTATTTAGACATAGTCCATTCAACACGGAACCTAGCTTGTTGGTATACCGAACTCTTTGCACATTATTTTTTAGCCGTCGGTCGAGCATTCGATCCCTCTCCCTTGATTGGGGTAATAAAGAAATCTGGAAAGCATATCCTTTGTTGCTTTATTCTGCCGGAATTGATACGTACCTTGCTCAATTGAGAAGGCTGTCCATTCATTATATAACAGATTGGTCGATCTTTGGGTATTTATCGAAATATGCCAAGAATATTGAAACTTTAGAGGTTGTAGATTACTCCTTTAATCAAGCTCCGCATCCCGAAGATGAGCAGAATTTAGCATCGTTAATTAGCATACAAAATAATTTGAGACGTATCAAACTGTTTGGATATTCTACTTATCCCGCATTAACACTCGCGTCACTTGGATCCCAAGCCAATCATCTAATCTCGATTGAAATCATTTATGTTCACTTTAATAATTCAAATTATCCATCATCATCATCCTCTTCCATCTCCACCTCCTTATCAACGGGATCGATCTTGGAAGGGTTGGCGGCTTGTATAAATTTAGAAGAGTTGGTAATCAAGAATTGCTCATTCGCGACGGATGAGATCCTTGCACCTTTGATGTGTGCAACGTTTCCATCACTTTGTAAAATACATATCGTAGAATCTACTTATAGTTGGGATAATGTGGTGGTTTCCTTAATACAAAATAATCCAACACATCTGGAAGAGGTGTATTATAAACCCGTTGATAATCAACAACATCATACCATATCACCTACAATTATTGAAGCGGTGGCTCAAAATTGTCCAAAGATCATCAGATTAGGAGTTCCGATTGCCAAAGTACAAATAAATCATTTGGTTGACATCCTAACATCATCCGAGTGTAAATTAAAGAGTCTGAGCATATTTCGAATGGATCGTATCTCGTGGGATGATGAGGCTCTTTGGAGGGATTTGGGTGGTCTAATGCCCGTCACCCTACGTCACCTGAATATTTGGATATACATAGGTGATAATCCGATGCAATTATTTTTACAAAATACTACCGCCCCTCTTGAGACATTATACGTCCGTTGGTGGACTCATTATTTGGGTTACGATTATCGTCTGGTTGGTGCCTACTTACAAGATAAACCTGTAAAAATTTCGGAATTCGTACGTCATGTAATCTAGATTTTTTTTATTATGCTTGTATTTTATGTGTATTGTATTTTTATTTTATTATTATTTTTTTCCCCCCACCTTTGACGAAAATATTATACGCTACGCTTTAAGTTATATAGTGAATTCTTATTCCCCTTTTTTTTGTACATTAGATTATTAGAATATTTAATAATATGAATAATATGATTGTATAAAATAAATTAAAAAGTTGTTTATTTCATCTATTTTCTTTTTTCTTTTTAATAATAGTAATGAGAGAATAAAAGTCTGGGATGAAAAAAAAAAAAAAATTCAATCTAAAGAAATAAATAAGGGGTTATTTATTTTTTTAATGTCATATTATGTGAACTAATTTAGGATCAAAAGTGTCAACATGCTTTTTTATATATATATATATATTCATAACCCTAGTGATGCTTTCAGCCCATATGCATCTCCCATAATAATGTTGTATGCTACTTATCTATATATAATAAACCTTTAATAACCTTTTACCACGGTTAATTTCCTTCTGCTCAACGATTTGCTTTTTTTTCACGTGTCATTATCACCTTAAATACGGACTTAACGTTAACACCTATGCCCATAAAACCAACGCGAGTTTTAGCAACCGTTGTAGATAAAAAAATCTTTTTTTTTAAAAGTCTTTATAATTTTCTATGGACTTTGAATAAAAGTTAAAGCGCGGGCCTTAATTTTTTGGTCATCGGAAAGTGAAAATAAATAAGAGCGTTATTGGTCTCTTTAGACCTATTCCTTCTTATGTATTTATCTTCCTTCTCAAACTCGAAAAGATTTCGTTGAAAACAAAGGACCATTAAAGTGAAGTGTGCAACCTTCATCTTTCTTAGAATAAAACAGCAAGTTTCGGCAACATCAAGACATTTTTGTTATAAATCATCTTTTGTCCAGTTTAAGTTAAACGATAAATATATATATATGATAAATAATTTTTTAGAAAATAAAACCTTTTTATTAATCATCTTACAAAACACGAAAAAAAAAAATTTTTGTACAACTTAGCCAGCTAAAATTGGGGAGTTTTTTTTTTCTTTCGGCACAAGTAAAACGATAACTTAAATACATATGCATTATTCAATATACAATATATTTCTAAATCAAAGGTATAAAAGAAAAATACCCCAAATTTGTCTATTTTTTAAGTCTATTTCTCTCAATTAATTTGACGGGGTGGTATGGGTGGAGCGTGAGTATTATGAGGATTATGAGGATTATGAGGAGTAGGAATAGGATGAGAATTATGAGAAATAGGTGAAGATTGAGGAGAGAAATAATTATTTTGAGATAATAAGAGAGAAAACCTTCCACTTGACCTCGTATTATGAGTATAATTTTGGTTTGTTCTAACATTTAATTTAGGTATAATTTTAAATATTTCATACTCATCAATTGAGAATCTATCATGGTTTGTGATTAAATGTCTTTCATAAGATTGTCTTTTACAAGAACAACCTAAATCCAAATTAAAGTTGGCATGAGTTCCCCCCATAACTAAATCCCCACTTCCGAAACATGGACCGATCGCCTGCGAGCATAAAACCGCTCTTGAAGGTTCTTGAACTCTACTAAAAATGATATTCTTTAGGTCTTCCCCATCCCCTAAGGAAAAAAGGAAACTATCTTTTGTATTTCCCCATTTGTTCGTGGAATCCCAAGAAATTGGATTGTACCCTCCGATTAACTGTCCGGTCCCATGAATTTTTAAGATCAAGATGGTCGGACCTTGCAAATCACACCTTGTGTGAAATGCTGCAGGAGAAAATCCATCTCGACTTCCCCTTACAAGCAACTTGAATTCGTAAGGGATGTTCCCAAATTCATAAGGGATACACGTAGAATTATAAAAAACATTTAAATCGTTTCTATCGATCCAACTCGAAATTAAAGCGACATGTTTCATCCTTAATAAATTTGATTCGAAACCTCCCCTTCTCGGTGGCATCAAAGAGGAAGGTCTCGGGCAATCGGGTACCATGTGATATCTCATGATATCCTCATAAAGAACTTTAGGTAAGATGCTTTCATATGGCATGATTTTACTATAAAAATCTTTTGAGGAAATTTGAAATAATCTAATTAAAGGAATACACTGGTGTATCGTGGATTGTAACGTTTTTATGTCCTCCTCCGACCATTTGGTGATATCTTCCAAGGATAAATCCGGTGTTTCTGTTGAAGCGCACGTTTGAGCTATTCCCCATCGTATTAAGTAATCCCAAACTTTAATCTCATCGAGCTGTAAATCATCCCTTTGAAAAACTCTCAACAGCACGGTTAAGTTTACCGAAAGGTAATCCTCCAAATTGAATAACAGAGGGGGGTCTTTACATATCCTATCCACACAATATTCTTGAAGCTTTTTTAATCGATCGTTTTGAAATACGGTTCGACGCACCAGATCGAAATTCTCTTGCATCCATTCCGCTTTGTGTTCTATTAGATGTTGTTGAATGAATCCAAACAAGTCATGTAAAATCAATTCATCCGCTGCCATCAATATTCTGAGAATTCCTGTTCCATCTTGTTGGTCTAACGCAATCTTACCCGTGTAAATATACCTTTATTTATTTATTTAATTAATTAAATTATCATTGTTATTATTTTTTTTTTATAAAAAAAAAAAAGAGAAGAAAAGGGAAAAAAAAAATTTATTAAAAGAATAATTTAATTTTTTTCCCGGGGGAGTAGGGGGGAAAGTTAATTTTGATGATGCAATCTTACTTGAGAACTACATCAAAAACTTCGGCAGAAATGTTTGGCTTTTTATATTCAATTTTACCATCTTCTCGTGATTTGACCCATTTTTCGGATAATGCCGTGCGAAAGTAAGGACATCTGGCACGGAGAATACCGGAATGAGCTCGGAATGATTTTATCTTCGGTTCTTCGCCAACCTGAATAATAACATTGTAGTCAATACCTTCCTCAAGAAGGTTACTTAAGTCTGCTAACAAAATTGTTGTAAAATCAGTAGACATTGAGAAAAATTGAAGGGAAGGAAAGGGGGAAGTGGGGGGAAAAATAGACGACGACAAAATATTTTGTTTTTAAAATAATTTAAATGTAAAATAAGGTGGTGAATTCTGTAAAAAAAAAAAAAAAAAAAAAAATATCTATCAAATGAATGATTAAATGAATGAACCATATGATCGAAGTAAAAAATGTTTTAAAAAAAGAGAGTTTTGTTGAACATTTTGAATTTTTATTTTATTTATATATTGAGATCGACTAAATCGATCCTAAAAAAATAAAAAAAAAAGATTTTTTTTTTTTTTGCTGCGGGCTTCAAGGTGTTAGTTTCGGAAATTATATTTGACGCTCACCAACCTTTATGCATTATATGCAGGAATTAATAAACGATTACTATTATAATAATAATGGTTTATTATTTACGGACTCAATAACTGATTTTTTCCGATGTCTTTATATGTCCGCTTTCTGACTTATGCATATGTTATTTGTTTTTTAACTCCTCTCACCTACATACACACTTCTACCCTTTCAAACCTAAAAAAAGGTTTTTTCTCCATCATAAGTTGGAAATTGATAATAATGGTCGGGATGGTTGATTAAATATAACTTTGACGAAATGAAAAAAAAAAAAATAAAAAAAAATGCCAAGAAATGATGAAATTTATCGAATTTTTTTTTTTTTTTTTAAGAAACTTTATCTTACACTAAAAAATTAACAACCAAACTGGGAAATGCCATTTCCATTTATTAATATTTCAATAACAAACACAACCAAACCAAATAATAATAAAAATAATAATAAATACTTTGCCACACGAATCAATTGGTTGAATATTCATTACATTATGATTATGATTAATTATTAATTAAATAAAATTATAATTAAATTCGAATTAACAAGGTTACTTTTGTGTACCGTTTAACCATTTGATCATTGCCTCATAAATATAAAATGTAACAGCATTGACAGGCAAAGCACGAATAAGCGTAGGCGTCATTCCTCTAAAAAACACGGAAATTCCTTCAGCACGGTAAGATTTTATAGTACAATCAATTATACCATTGTAATAAGGTCTATTTTCGCTCACAAGTGGTGCTAATTCTTCCAAATGTGGGTTTAACGTTAATATCGAGTTCAGATTCATTGACGATGGTGGAAGACTTATTTGCGTTTGTAATCGGGATTTGATGACGTCTGTGACATGCGTTTGATTGTTAATACCTTTAACAAAACGCATTCAAACGTTTACAGCTTTTTAATACGTACCTAACGGATAAATACTACTCCAAGATAATATTCCGGCCATTCCACCAGCAAATAATAGCTTTGTGACATTTTCGCTAGAATTAGCCATGGTTACTCCTAATACCCTTTTCAATCCTTCGTATGCCCTTATAAATCATAATTGTAAATTTTAATCCCTTTGAAACCTTTTGTGCTAAATTACATTTGTCATTTATATCACATACCAAAAATAAACACCATATCCTGGTGCATCCCGGATAATTGTAATAAGCCCTCCATGGTAAAATCCTAATGAAGATATCAAATCATTGTTCAATAAAATAAAAATAAAAAAAAAACATTGGGTAATATATTTCACCTCTGATTCCTTTGGTGAATAAGATGGATTTGAAGACATTCCAAGTGGAAGAATTAACAACAGCTTGAGTTCTGCATTTAACCAATTCAGTTGGAGTACTTGCTAAGAAACAAGCAATGCCAGCACCGAATCCTGCAAAATAAACTTGAGACAATGTTGGAACAAATGGTGATTTACCATCGTATTTTTCAAAAGCTCTTATAATTCCTCCATAAGATGCAAATAAAATTGAATTCAATAATGCCAACCCTATGATCGGTGATTCTACCCCTTTTAATAATGACTTCATCTACAAAAAAAGAAAAAAAAAAGGAAGTACCCGTTTATTAGTGTATATTTTTTTTTTTTAAAAAAAAAAAAAAAGATATAATTCATAAATAAAATATTTACCCCTTCTTTCTGTTTCATTTCTGTCAAGGTTCTGATAGATGACGTATGTAAACCTTGTGTTTGGAGCCGTACTTTTAGGACATCTAAGGGGCTTCCCACAAGCAAACCTGCCACACCACTAATATATCCTGTAAAATTCAATCATTTATTATATATATATTTATTATCTCAATGATTTTATATTTATATGTTTAATTTACCTGCCAAGAAATCATTAAAGCTTTCGGCTAATAAAAAAAAATTCATCAAAGAAATCCGGATTACAATTAATTAAATTATTAAATTATTAATCAATAAAAAAAAAAAAAATTTTACCCATTTTAAAATCTTTTCTCAAAAAGAAAATTATACGGATTTAATGTTACCTGAAAAAAGATCATTATTTATAGATTTTTTTTTGTTACATATAACGGGACTATCCGACAAGATGATCCATCAAAGTGTAATCTTTCCGAACTTATGAAATCTTATGAAATTTTAAAATCGAACTTGGCTTTTCTTTTACGAAATAATTAATTGTTGCTCGAAAAAAAAAAGATTTTTCTTTATATTAATTTTTCTAATATTACAATTAACAGCTCTTGCTTTTTCCAGATCATTCTCTTATGAATGGCTAAATATGTGATCAAATGTTGTGATTTGAGGCTCAAGGATCGGCAAATTGTTATTCCCCTACATTTGGTAAGGAATAATTTACCGTTTAGGGCATGAACATATATTACGTAATTTTTTTTGGGAGTGTCTTACGTTACATTTACATTTACAAATAAAATCACGTGATCCTATGTGGCTTGTAAATGATCAATTCTTACAAATTTATGATTAAAGTATATTCTTTTAAATCAATTTCTTCAAATGAAGCAGATCATTGCAAGAATAAAAGAAAAAAAATCATTAAGTGTATAGTAGGATATGCTGCTTTCTTATGGCTTATTAAAAAAGTAAGTGTAAAAAAGTATAGAATAATAAAGACATGAATATATCTTTTAAATAATTATTATTTATCATAATCTAAAATTTTCAAAATATCATAATATTGAATATATAGATTGAGTTTGTAAAATATTTATCTTTAACTTTAATAATAAATAATAAGAAATCATTGTGAATATTGAAAAAATTTATCATTTTTTAACTTTAGATATACTATAGCAATTTGTATTTTATATTACTTTATATCAGTAAAATATATATGTTATATGTCAGATATAATTGATAATTAACATATATTAGATAATTAATCCTTCTTAAAGTATTATAAGAATAGTTTAAAATAGGTCTATAATTTAGACCAATTAGTATCTAATATAAAATTATAATTAATGCATAATATATATACAGATTGTAATGATTTTTTAATTCAAAATCAGAATAAAATATATAAGTATATCTTTTTTTTTTTGTATTTTTTTTGTCTCTATTAAAGTTTTATATAAGTAAATTGATTTAATTTGACTTATAATCAGTTTAAACTAAGCCATTTTTATTTTAACTTAGCTTAGTTTAGCTTAGAATAATCAATTGAAATCTAAGTCAAATTATTATGATAAAATTTTGTTAAGAAACATGTTTTCCATTAAGAGAAGTATTCTTAAAATGATCTTTTCAAGAAAAATATTTTTAAAATAATTTCTTTTAAGAGCAATATTATTAAAATAATTTTCTTTAAAAGAAATATTAATAGAATAATTCTTTTTAAAAGAAATATTTCTTAAATAATTTTATTTTAAAGAAATATTATCAGAATAATTTTTTCTAAAAAAAGTGTTACCTGAATAATTTCTTTTAAAAAAAAATATTTTCAGAATAATTTCTTTAAAAGAAATATTTTTAAAATGATTTTCTTTAAAAGAAATATTTTCAAAATAATTTCTTTTTAGAGAAATATTTCTGAAATAATTCTCTTTAAGAGAAATGTTTTTGAAATAATTTTTTTAAAAAAAAACATTTTTAAAATGATTCTTTCAAAAGAAACATTTTCAAAATGATTCTTTTTAAGAAAAATATTTTTAAAATGATTTTCTTAAAGAAAGTGTTTCATAATTTTCTTTATAATATAAAAGTAAAAAATTAGTAAAATGTATTTTACATAATAATTACTTTGTATTGTAATAGATTTTTTTTAAAAATTATTAATTAATAATTAAAATTAATAATTAATATAATTTTTTTTAATATTTTATTTATAATAATTTATGTAGATTATAAATTTTGATTATTAATTAA